ACGATAATGATTAGGCAAGGCTAAGCGAAAAGACACTGGAGTAATCTGGCGTACAATTTTGAATGGCCCTACATACCTGGGACTGAGTTTGCGGCAGGGCAATCTCAGACGAAGGTCTCGTGTCGACAACCACACCCACTGCCCCGGTTGATACGTGGGTCCCTGGCGTCGGTGACGGTTCGCCTGAATCTCTCTCCTCCTGACTGCCCTCATGAGATGTCTGTGAGCCTGGTTCCAGACATCTTCACTCCGCTGCAGCCAATCCGTGACAGCAGGTAACTCAGTGGGTTCTCCGGACCATGGAAACAGGGGTGGTTGGTAGCCAAGAATACATTTGAATGGTGTAATACCCGTGGCTGGCTTTATTAATGAATTTTGTGCATATTCTGCCCACATCAGATAGCGACTCCAGTCGTGCTGTTGCTGATGACAGTAGGAACGTAGAAATCGAATGACTTCTTGATTCATACGTTCAGTTTGGCCGTTGGATTGAGGATGGTACCCTGAGGTGAGACTAACATTAATATTTAGATTTTTACAGAGAGCGGACCATACCCGGGAAGTGAATTGGGATCCCCTGTCTGAGACGATGTCATCAGGTAAGCCAAACATTCGAAATACATGATTGCACAGGGCTTCTGCGGTTTCAAAGGCAGAGGGCAATTTGGGCAACGGTATTAGGCGACAAGCCTTGGAGAAACGATCAACCACCGTGAGAATGACTGTGTTGTTCTGGGAAACAGGGAGATCCGTAATGAAGTCCACCGCTATATGGGACCAGGGCCGTTGCGGAACCGGTAGCGGTTGTAACAGGCCAGCAGGGGTTTGGTGAGATGCCTTCGTGCTTTGACAAATTTTACATTTCTGAACATAATTAATTACATCCTTCGTGAGGGACGGCCACCAGAAACGGGTTTTGACTAACTCCAAAGTTGCAGTGATGCCTGGATGCCCCGAACTGGGAGTGTCATGAATATGGGTCAGTAATCTGGTACGTATGTTATTGGGTACAAAAATCAGGTGATTCGGACAGTCTACTGGAGGGTTGTTTTCTCGGTTGGCCTCTTGGATCTCGGTAAGTATGTCCCACTGTACTGGAGCCACTAGTAAGTTCGTAGGAATAATGGTTTCATCACTAATTGGGGTTTTATCCTCTGATAGCCTGGATAGTGCATCTGCCTTACTATTTTTACTCCCTGGTCTATAGGTGACAATGAAGTCGAATCTGGTGAAGAACAAAGCCCAACGAGCTTGTCTTGGATTTAGACGTTTGGCTGAGCGAAGATATTCCAGATTCTTGTGGTCAGTTAATATGGTGAATTGCTGACTAGCCCCCTCCAGCCAGTGTCTCCATTCTTCCAGGGCCCATTTCATTGCCAGTAATTCGCGATTTCCCACATCATAGTTTCGTTCTGCGCTGGTCAATTTACGGGAGAAGAAGGCACATGGATACATTTTGGATGGTTGACCCTGACGTTGAGATAACACAGCACCGACTCCTGTGTTGGATGCATCCACTTCCACAATGAAAGGTAGGTCTGGGTTGGGATGACGGAGAATAGGAGCTGTGGTGAATTGAGTCTTCAGATCGTTAAATGCTTGGCGTGCTTCAGAGGACCAGGATAGTTTGTGGGAATTTCGTTTGGTCATGGCTGTTAATGGTGCGGCTATTGAACTAAAGCCTCTGATAAACCGTCTATAGAAGTTGGCAAAACCTAGAAATCGCTGCAACTCCTTGAGATTCTGGGGTAACGGCCATCGTTGAACTGCCTGTACCTTCGTATCATCCATGGTAATCCCTTCTGCACTGATGACGTAACCCAAAAAGGCGATCTGTGTCTGGTGAAATTCACACTTCTCTAATTTGGCGTACAGACGATGTTGAATCATGCGTTGCAACACCATACGTACATGTTCAACATGTTCCTTCATCGTGTTTGAATATATGAGGATGTCGTCGATGTAAATGATGACCCAGCGATCCAGCATATCCCGAAAGACATCGTTCATAAAAGATTGGAACACGGATGGACAGTTTGACAGGCCGAAGGGCATTACCGTGTACTCATAGTGCCCCCTAGTGGTGGAAAACGCGGTCTTCCACTCGTCACCAGCACGGATTCTGACAAGGTTATATGCACTGCGAAGATCAAGCTTGGTATAATATCTAGCCTTTCTTAATTGTTCCAGGGCAGGAGGTACGAGGGGTAATGGATAGCGGAATTTTACGGTGATTTCATTGAGCCCTCGGTAATCAATACAGGGACGTAAACTGCCATCTTTCTTTTTTACAAAGAAGAATCCAGCTGAAGCAGGAGATGTGGAAGGTCGGATGAAACCCTTGGCCAATTCCTCGTCGATATATTCAGACATTGCCTTGTGCTCAGGTTGTGACAGAGGGAATATTCGACCCGTTGGAGGACTTGAACCTGGAATTAACTCAATAGCACAATCACTTGGTCGATGTGGGGGAAGTTGAGTAGCTTTTTGTTTGCTAAAAGCTTCATGTAAGTCATGGTACTCAATGGGGATTAGTTCATCAACGAGTTCAGGTAACACATTGGTGGTTCGTAGTGGAATTTTGTGAATGGGCTGGATGCACTGTTTCATGCATGACTCACTCCACTGCAATATCTGTCCGTCCCTCCAGGAGATATGAGGATCATGTCGCCTTAACCAGGGCAGTCCCAACACCAGTGGATGATTAACTGAATCAATAATGTAGAACTGCATTTCTTCAATGTGTAGAACGCCAACTTGTAACTGTAGCTTATTCGTAATCATACGGATGCGTCCTTCACCCACAGGACGACCGTCTAGTGCTTCCACTGCAAGACAGGAATCATAGGAGCTGAGAGATAGTTCGTGACATAAAGCAAATTTCTTAGATATAAAGTTTCCGGCAGATCCAGAGTCGACAAGAGCCGTAGTATTAATCATTCTTTTATCAAATTTAATAATCACAGGAATCAGTACACTGAAAAGTGCAGGAACATGGGAAGGACTCACCGATTGAACTGGTGTCTGAGGTCGTACGCTGCAGGTGGATTTCCTGTGCCCTGATTGACCGCAGTACAGGCATAGATGATTTTGCAATCGATGCATTCTTTCTTCATGGGTGAGACGGGTGAAACCCAGTTGCATGGGTTCATCAGGGGGCGTGTCACTTGAAACATGGAGCTGTGTGCGAGGATTTCTACGGCTGCGAATCAGATGATCAAGACGGATGGTAAGTTCAATGAGTTCGTTCAATTTCTTTCCTTCGTCACGGCAAGCCAATTCAGATTGTAGATTGGTATTCAGACCCCGTCTGAATAGTGTCTTCAGTGTATCCTCAACCCAGTTAGTTTGAGCGGCGAGAGTGCGAAATGACAGAGCGTATTCTGCAGCTGTGTTACGCCCCTGTGTAAGAGAAAGTAACTGCTCACCGGGACTTCTCCCATCTGCTGGGTGCTCGAACACTTCCCGAAATTGCTTGAGAAAAGTTTCAAATGTGGAATAGTTACATTCCTCCTCCTTCCATATCGCTGTAGCCCATTCCAGCGCTTTCCCCGTTAACAGGTTGCATACAAAAGCCACCCGACTAGAATCAGTGGGATATAATGCAGGTTGTTGGTTAACAAATAGTTTGCATTGCAATAAGAAGCCTTTGCAGCGAGAAGGTGACCCATCAAACTTTTCAGGAAAAGCTAATCGGGGACTTACGGTAGCCGGGGCATTGGAGACATGCGTTGGTTGAGAAGCTGTCATGGTAGCAGGCGGGGTAACTGCAGGATTCGGATGACGGAGTTGCTGCATAGCTCTCACCAGTTCCTCCGTGAGAGAAGTTAGATGGGTGAGTTGTTGATGATGGGTGGCTAACTGAGTGGCTTGAGCGGAAAGTTCAGTCGAGACTTGTGCTAATGCTGCTGGATTCTGTAGTGGCGAAGTCTTCTGTTGTGATGAGTCAGAAGGCGTTGAATCCATTTGCAAGCTTTATTAAGAGCACACATACAAACAAACACAAAGGGGCAATCCAGGAGACAGAACGTGGGACAGGCAAAAGTTCAAAGGCAGGCAGATATCTTACTGGTCGGAATAACAGGCTGGAGATCAGGGGCAGGCAGATGTCTTTCGTAATCGTAGAACAAGCACAGGGTCAGAAACACAGATCAGTCCGAAGCAGGGAGTATAGAACGCTCAGAAATGACAGCCAGGCAAATCAAGACTTCGCAACGAACCGGAGCGTGAGTGTGGTATATATACACGAGAGCTGATGAGTTGCACCTGGACCGTAATCAGTGCCAGGTAGCAGGGCTTATGGGATTTTGAGTCCGTGAGTCGAATCAGAATTCTGGCGATGGTTCCCTCTGGTGGTGCACAAGAGGGTTGGCATCGCCCTCATTTACAACAGCAGCCAAGTACAACCTAACAAAAAGAAAAATGTAAATGACGTACCATGACAAGACTGTATGGTATTGTAAATATTAATTTCTGATCATTGGCTTTACCTGCATAGCATCCCCAGAAATGGGAATACCACATTTTTGGGTGCAAACCGCAGTAGGACGCTGTGGAAAGCTTCAACAGTTGACGTCTGGTGGTGAGGACTTAGCTTGGCCACATCCTTCAATATTCTCTTGTTAGCGAGAACTTTCTCCAGCTTGTAGAATGGCATCGTTGCTAAACAAGCAAAAATTTAAGGTATTAGAGTCGAAATCAAAAACAAATCTGAACAATGAAACAAGCTCTATTTTGAATTAGTTTTAATCGCAAAGAATATTTTATTTGTCTGTATACAACTTACCAGCCGACAGCCATTTGTTCTTGTCTCTGCTTATCCGTTGCGGATGCAGATAAGCCGGAAAATTGGGGTCTTCATGTACATGGTTTAAGATAGAGGTCCACTTTGCCACTCTTTCAGGACCTGTTGTGGATGATGCAGCAGTCCAGTAGATGTGGTTTTTGATGCTACGTAACCATTTACGCAACTTCTCACACCCCTTTATCTGGTATATCTGGTCCAGTTTTTTGGAAATTCCTGGAAATTAAAGAAAAAAAAAGACATCAACACAAAAATAATAATAAACATGTAAGAACTGTAAATAGCAATTTAATCTTAAGTAAATTAATAACTGCTACATTACATACCTTTCTCGATATGCCACACATCGTAAAACTGAGTGACATTTCGATCCCTGAGATATTTCTGTATTTGAGGATGTCGGTCTGTGATGATGCATTCCAGACGAACACCGCGGGCATCCAACAGGTCTAGGCTTCTCTTTAGGCCTTCTTTTTCCATATGGTAACTGCCGCCCACCTCATTACTCTATAAAATTTTAAATAAGGAAAAAATATATATATAAAAAAAATCACACATTTTCCATCCAAAAAATTATGCTAGTTCACATAACACTTTTCTGTATTACCTGGACTAACTTTAGGTCGACCACTGTGTTAGTTGCAAGGTCCATCATTGTATAACTCCCATACTTGGCCGAGTGACCTTCAAACACAAACCGTACATAATTATTTCAAACACATTTTTGGAATAATTGTAATGTATTTCATATTTTTTTTTTATTAGACTGTATTGAATTAGAAATGAAATCTTTTGACTAAATACCTGGGGAGTCAGCCCTCTTATCTCCTCCAACAATCACATTCTCTCTTCGACTGAGCTGTTCTAGCATTTCACTCTGCCAATTTCTCCACTTGTGGACAATAGCAGGTTCAATGCAAAGTCTTGCATGACAACTAAATGAATCATATTTAAAAATGTGTAGTTTCATGGCAGCAAATACCTGACAACAGAGAGGAGAATTTTTAGTACAATGTGCATGCACCCTGTGACAAAATTTATATTATGTTTCTAAAAGAAATGTGATAAATTTTGATAGATAATTACCTTTTCAACTACAAAAAATTATGCACCACTCAAGTAGACTGCAGCAGAAAGATGCAGGTTGCTAGCTGGAGTACTACCAATAATTGGCTGACTGTTCCATTTTCTTACAAACTCGCAGTGTGGGCAGACTTGCTGTACGCTCAGAAATGTCCCAAGCCTTTGTGACTTTACATCACATCTCCTTTGACACACTGGGCAGTCACTGAAGAGCTCCATGAGGCATGTTTCATAGACAATGAACTTGGCAATGTTATGAACTGGGCATTCTTGGATTCTGTAAAAATAAATATACACATGTACATAATAAAAAAAAAAATGATGATGAATGTTATCATGACAATACACAATCTTTCAAATAATTTACATAATGCATAAACTCACGACAAGTCTGTTGGTTCAGTTGCAGATGTGCATTCCTCTGCAGGGTCAAATCTCACATCCGAGTCTTGGGCTATAATTTTTGACTCTGTCAAAGTCTCTTCGGCTTCTTCTTCTTCCTCCTTCTCCTCCTCCAGCTCCAGACGAGGTCTTTTTAGTGAAGGTTTGAGGGGTGTCGAAGTCATAAACGCAGTAGAGGATGCTGATGGTACAGTCAGTTCAAAACTGGATACTGTTGTCTGGACACCTATAGTGTAATTTTATGATTAATCTCATTGCACGTTTATGAAGATAATAAAACACGTTTCTAATGCAGCAACTTAAAATAAACTGAGAAATTTTAACTTACTTGTACTCCTGCGTTTAGCCTGAAGCGTCCTAAAAGACAACTGGGTACCAACACTGTGTAAAGATGTGTGAAATGGTTCTGTCTGGCAACAAACATCCACCTTGTTGCTCTTTGTCGACGTCGTGGCCTTTGTAAGAAAACATAATTTTTTTTAAATGACCTTTATTTGATTAAAACATACCGATCTTATTGTAAACAACTGCAGACCACGTGCAAGTACAGTGAAAAAATTTCAACAAACATCCCACATACAAAACAAACTTTAGCTGTAACTTAGTCAGTGGTAATGCTTTATTACAATGTTTAATTTTTTCTACCGTTTCTGTTTCTGATGGCTAAAACCCCTTTATGGACACATTAACAATTAAAGCTTCGAGTATTTAGACTGTTTTAGAAAAGCACAATAGCTGTAAACGCGCAAACATCCGAAGTAGCTTTAGCCGCAGATGCTATTCATTTCTGCTTAACATTACAGTATACACATTACAACAAACATCCCACATAAACAACAAACTTTAGCTGTAGCCAGTACTGGTTACTGCTTTATTACAATGTTTATATTTTTCTATGGTTTCTGTTTCTAATGGCTAAAAGCCCTTCTTGTACACACTACTACCACTTATAGCTTCGATTATTTAGATTGTTTTAGAAAAGCATAATAGCAGTGAACACGTGCAAACAAACATCCGAAGCAACTTTAGCGGCTTTTAACTTTTAGATGCTATTCATTTCGGCTTACGATTACAGTACAACAAACATTTAACAACAACAAACTTTAGCTGAAGCCAGTGGTACTGCTTTTTACAATGTTGCTATTTTTCTACGGTTTCTGTTCCTAATGGCTAAACCCCCTTCATGTACACACTAACGTTACCATATGCAGCTTCGAGTATTCAGACTGTTTTTGAAAAGCACAATAAGAGGTAAACACGTGCAAACAAACATCCGAAGCTACTTTAGCCGCAGATGCTATTCATCGGCTTAACATAATTAGAATGCTAAGGCTAGAAGTACATAAAATGTAATACTTACTTGAAGTGAGACAGGATCACGTATTGTAGGAACTGATCCAGTTTTCAAAAACAATTTACTCGCGAATCCGGAGTTGTATTGTCCCACGTTCTCGAGGCAGTCTACGCTAAAGTGGTTAGCGCAAACATACAACAGTTTTGGTACATTTTCAGGCACCTTGTCTTCAAAGATAAAACTCAGCCACTTAAGCCTCTGTTGCTCATTTGCAGGAAGACGGTGAAGGCTCTTGTGCTGAGCCTTACATCCTAAAATAGCACAAGGGTGTTCTCTCGGTGGCATCGCTTCGACGTTCACGCTGATAATGGCGGAAACGGCAAACGCAGGATATGTTAATACGCGCAGCTGTCAATCAATTCGGTGGGCGGGGGGAATCGCACACCTACGTAATGGTGCGATCGATTTGAAAACAGCTCCAATTGGCCGACCCTTTTTTTTGTAGTTAAATTGAAAAAAAAGGACTGGGTGTGTTCATATCACCCCAGTATGATGGTCTATACACTATACCAACACACAGATCTGTCCAAACAGCTTGAAAAGAAGATTTTTTACAATAGGTGCCCTTTAACTTCTATGTTAAGTGGCTTTGACACAATTTACATTGTAAAAGCACTAGATAAATAAGGATGACTTAAAGGGCACCTATGGTAAAAAATCTACTTTTCAAGCTGTTTGGACAGATCTGTGTGTTGGTATAGTGTATAGACCGTCATACTGTGGTGATATGAACACACCCAGTCCTTTTTTTTCAATTTAACTACAAAAAAAGGGTCGGCCAATTGGAGCTGTTTTCAAATCGATCGCACCATTACGTAGGTGTGCGATTCCCCCCGCCCACCGAATTGATTGACAGCTGCGCACATTAACATGTTCCGGTAGTCGCGTGTATATGTCAACAAGACCAGGCAGACATACGCAAAGCAACCGGGAATAAAAGGTCTGTTCTGTTCGCTAGGATCAGCAATCATCATCAAATGTGATTAAGAGTAAGTTTCACATGTTTAAAGTGTTTTAAAACAGAATATGTGTGTAATTAATTACAGCGTTTTACTTCAGCTTTACTTCATCAGCACAGCCGCGTGTCAGAACAATTATAAAAGAAGACGCTTCAATCCCGGTTTGTGGAAGTTAAATCAGGTTTACTTTGTACATTAGCATAACAGATATCCACACAGTACTTGAGGTTAGCCTTAACTAAGCTAAGTGCGCTCTGTCTGTCTGCCTGCCTGCCTGCGTGTGTATCTGTGTGTGTGTGTGTGTGTGTGTGCGCGTGTGTGCGCGCGCGTTAACTTTGTAACGATATTGTGTGTGACTTATCAAGGCAACTTCACAATACTGATTAGTAAAGGTTAGTTCTTACTGTAGTTTCTCACAAACGCTACGCGAGACCTTCTTCCTTTAAGTCTGTCTGTTGTCTGACGCAGCTGAGGGAGGAGGCATGTAGAAACAGTGGGCGGGCAGAACTTGGCTTAAAGGCACAGTACGACAAAACCACCCCCTGCTGGAAATCAGTATAAAACAGCATCTTGTAAAGGGTATAATGAAAAATCTGATGGTTATATTGATTTGAAACTTCATATACAAATTCTAGAGACGCAAAAGACTTATATTAAATCTGAAAAAAGGGGTAACCTTGGTGCCCTTTAAGACTTAATGAAAACTAATGTTTTATTTTTTTTACTATTTTAGAAATAATTGAAGAGAACGAGGGGAGTAAACAGGAGGAACATCATGTCAAAATTGAGGAAAAAACTTTTTTACAGACTGATGGTATTTTAAAAAGGAGAGACAAGAATCGTTTCACCTGCACTCAGTGTGGAAAGAGTTTTGGAAGAAAAGACATTCTTAAGATTCACATGAGGATCCACAATGGAGAGAAACCATTCACATGCACTCAGTGTGGAAAGAGTTTCAGTTTATCGTGGTCCTGTAATCTACACATGAGGATCCACTCTGGAGAGAAACCATTCACATGCACCCAGTGTGGGAAGAGTTTCAGCTTATCGTGGTCCCGTAATCTACACATGAGGATCCACTCTGGAGAGAAACCATTCACATGCACTCAGTGTTGGAAGAGTTTCAGCAGCTCATCACACTTTAATTACCACATGAGGGTCCACACTGGAGAGAAACCATTCACATGCACTCAGTGTGGGAAGAGTTTCAGCTGCTCATCATCCCTTAATCAACACATGAGGATCCACACTGGAGAAAAACCATTCACATGCACTCAGTGTGGGAAGAGTTTCAGCCAATCATCACATCTTAATCACCACATGAGGATCCACACTGGAGAGAAACCATTCACATGCACTCAGTGTGGGAAGAGTTTCAGCCGCTCATCATACCTTAGGCCCCGTTTACACTAATGCGTTTTAGTTTGAAAACGCATAAGTTTTGCTACGGTTACGCCAACCGTCCACACTACGCCGGAGTTCTCGAGCGCCGAAAACGGAGCGTTTCGAAAACGCTGGAGAGGCCGTTTTCATTTTGAAACGCTGCTGCTCCGTCTCAGTGTGGATGATGGAAAACGGAGACATCTGAAAACGGAGGCGGGGCTGCAGACGTTCGCCTCTCTGATTGGGGCTTTTCCTGAATATTAAGTAGCCTAACACACAGTTCAGTCCTGAATCTTCTCCGTGTAAGTTCAGACTTCGCAAGTTTGATCAAGGCTGCAGTCTCTTCTTCTCAGTTTGATATGGAAAAGCAGACTATACCGAGGACACGGGTAAATCTTCAAAGGGAACAGTGTACTTTATAACTTCATTCACATCACCCTTCGTTGTATCACTTTCTCAACAATAAAATGTAAACATGATTTAAGGAACTGCCTATTTTCATTTTAATATTAGCAACTTAGACAGCAGAAATGTTGAGGCGTCGTGCTGTATAAGATGAGCGTCATCTTCACTGTCTGGATATTTATAACAAAACGGAGCCGATAACAACTGTCTCCTTTCAATTTCAGTGAAAATACGAAACATCCCCTCTCTTTTGCTGAGTATCAGTTTTAAGAATCGATAATGGCCATTTTAAAAGTATAACATACAATAAGTTTATACATTGTAGGAAATAAAGGCAAGCGATAAGTCAATATACAGAATGTACGTGGTTACATTAATCATTAACTTATCTTTGCGCTCAGCCAAAACACGTTACCTGAGAACAAGTAATAGATTCCAATGCCCAAAGTCAGGGAATATGTCGTTAGATAAAGACAACAAGATGAATGAAATATCCCGTTTAATAAATATAGTGAGATTAGATCCAGCGGGAGATGCTTGATGAGAAGTCCGACTAGCAGAGCTCTCATCTGGGTACATGGGCTGCAGCGCTTGCCCGAGAGCGTCTGTGTGGTCACGTGATGTGCGTTTTCAGCGTTTTGGTGTGGACGGAGAGCAGTTCAGAAACGCTGGGTAAAACGTGAGTGTGGACGCGGATCGTTTTCATTCTAAAACGCCGTTTTAAAACTAAAACGTACTAGTGTAAACGGGGCCTTAATCAACACATGAGGATCCACACTGGAAAGAAACCATTCACATGCACTTAAGCCGCAGTCATACTGGACTTTTCTACCCATACACTTCCTTGCGTGTATTCCAGCATGTAGACTGTCTGTCTGTACCTGGGAGTATTTCATGTTGTCTCTGAGTGTACTGCATTCATTCATGAGAAAGACTTTTTTCAAACCAATCAGTGCGCTCTATTGTGTATTTGGGGCAACTTCATTAATATGTATGATAGCTTTAAAGACTGTTTTACCTGAAACAGTGTTCAGACGGCAGAGAGACGACTAGTTGGGTTGCCAAAACAAGTGGGAGAAGAGGAATTGTTTAAAGTCAGTACTTTAATATCACTACAATATTATGGACTGAAGGATCTGCTGTAAATGCTGCTCTCTGAGTGTAAACATGTAAACGCGTTATTTTAAAAGGATAGTCTACACACGCACATGGCTTTCTGACATACTGAGTGCATCTCAGTTACCGAGAAATGCAGTTTTTTTTTCGCTTATACAATGTGCGATATCAAAAATTCCACTGTCATTAAACAGTCAGTTACTGATGTCCATGTAAACAGTCACTGTCTTTCTCCCCTGCGTCTGTGTGTTTGTTGTGCCTCTGTGAAAATTTTGTAGAAATGTGTTGCGCTCCTTGCGTTTACTGTAAACACAATGATGGCAACTGAGAGAAGAACAGTTTTTATAAACATCTGGCAAACAGCATCTCTGCTGCTTAAAATCTTTTTGCAAGCGATTGTACAGGTGCGGATATATCTGTACTCTACTCTTCAGTGTATTCATGTAGCTAGTGTTGTTTTCGATGATGTTCTTTGTCTGACTCCCTAAATGAGAAACAAATCATCTATTTATTAGTAAAGTTTCTTTACTTTTAGATTCAAAATTCTTTCTAGTTTACTACATTTACTGTTTTGAGTAGAATACAAACTTGATGAATATTTGATGATTTTGGCAGAGCGACAAGTATTTAGTTTTACAATATTAATACACTGTGATGATCCCAAGACTCCAGATTGGAATATGTGGTAAATCCTGATTGGATGCCTGCATTACTCATCAATGGGTATATAAAAGTTGTTGTACTAGCTACCCCTGGACGCTGTGGCTACTCAGGAGTCCACATGTCAAGACCTGCCATCTCATTGACTCTTTAACTTTATGGTTTTGTTTTGCATTACTTATATTATGTAGTTAAAGTGTTGTTGTGATTATATCCTAAGTTCTTTATCTTCATTATTATGCCTAGACATTTGTTGGTTGCTTTGATTGATTGTTCTGAGTTACATTTTATAATAAATCATTTGCATTCAGGCTATTTTGTTGTTTCATCTCACTTTTATGGTGCAACTCAAACAAGCAGGTCACAACATTTTGCAAAATGTGTCCGGTTGTTACCGAGATCTTGTCCTTTCAGTCATGACCATAGATGTGAGTAGGAACCTAGATTGAGTGGTAAATTTAGAACATTGCCTTTCATCTCAGCTACTTCACCACAACAGACAATCACATCAAATGCAATACTGCTGCCGCTGCACTGATCCATTTTTTAATCTCACAATACATTTTTCATGAAAAAAAAACAAAAAAAAAAAAAAAACGCAGATACTTGTACTCCATTTGGGGTAAAGACTCTCCAAACTGGAGATGGCCACCTTTTTACCAGTCAAGCACCATGGTTTCTGACTCAGAGGTGCTGTTTCTTTCCCTGCCATGTCACACTCAGCAGCAAACCGTCCCACTGCATGCTGAAGGTCCATGTCCTATGAAGCCAAAAAAACAACGTTATCTGCCAATGGCAGAGACAGTCTTAGCCTGCAACTAAAATTTTGGCAGTAAAATTATTATATTTTTTTGAGGTCAGCCTCAAAAATAACACATTTACTAAACAAAATGAATAAATAGATG